GAATGATCGCCACCTCCATCTGACTCCCACCCTCACACAGCTTGCACCTCATGGCTTTTCTCAAGCACGGACAGGGCATTCTGAAGGCAAATGACCTCCCTGGGTGGCAGGAAAGAGAAGATCCTAACACTCTGCTGAATCAAAGAAAAAAGGGTGGGGGGAGCCTCCTTTGTTTCAGACAAGTTGGAAAATGTTTATGTAGTGTCTAGAGCACTCCAGACTTTCCTAAAGTTTTGATGGAAAGGTCCCTAAGGGCTGAAACGGCAGGGGGAAAACACCCATGGTGGAGAATGGTCTACATCATTGTGAAAACATGTCATTATTTCATGGAACAAGGTCTTGCCTGCAGTTTACCAGCAGGGCCTGAAAGATGTCACCTTTTCTCAGTAAGAGATCACTAAGTTAAAGTTGTGTGTGTGTGTTTAATTTCTATGGGCTCAATATTTTCCTTCTGAACAGTCTCAAGGTGAAGCGAGAGATTTAAAATAATGCATAATATATTCTTAGTGTTGGTTAAGATGTTAGTCACATAATATTCTTGGATTTGTACTTCCAGAGCATTTTCCACCCAAGGATTTCCATATCCTTTCCAAAGCTAATATTTTTCTGATGGGTTAAAATAAAATGGAAAAGTCCAAAGATATTAAGTCTGTGCCCTTTAAAAACTCCTTTCCAACTCTAACTTCCTTTCATAGATAGCTGTTGGACAAGTCACTTTCCTCTCTGAATCCAGCCTCATCATTCGTGAAAATGGGAGGTCAGACACCTTCTAGCTTTTTTTTCCCCACAAGATGTTTTATTTTTATTTTTTAAAATATATTTGTATTGATTTCAGAGAGGAAGGGAGAGGGGGAGATAGAAACATCAATGATGAGAGAGAAGCATTGTCTGACTGCCTCCTGCATGCCCCACACTGCAGATCAAGCCAGCAACCCCAGCATGTGCCCTGACTGGGAATCAAACCATGGCCTCCTGGTTCATAGGTTGATGCTCAACCACTGAGCCATTCCGGCCAGGCACCTTCCAGCTTTAACAGTCTAATTTTGTTGGAAAATATGTGGCACAGCTAATACACTATTCTTCTTCAAAAGAGGCCTAAGGTGTTTAATTACAGCAGATCTTGGCATTTGCATATTTGACATCTGTGGTTTTGATTACTCCCAGAGACCCCAAACGTCCATGAACTTCAGTAATCTGTTTTGTTGCAGCGGCGTACCATGAGCCCGGGCTAGTCACGTGTTTAGTGAGTGAGATTAACGTGCTGACAGAACCCACAACCCTGTGAGGTTTTGCTATTGTCAGCTCAAAGGCCACGATTCTCATCGTGTACAGCAGCGGTAGTCAAAAAGGTAGGGATTCTTCTCAATAGTATCCCTCTCAAATGTCAAGAGTTTATTGTAATGTGGGTTTAAAGTAATCATGTACCTACCCCCATGTCACCTACTTCATTACTATCCCTATGGTTACTCTGAAAACTTTAGTGGTGTCATGCATACAACAAGGGTATTTTATTCCTCTTTTATCGAACTTATCTCAAGCATACGCCTCTCCCAACCTGTCTGAATACCTGTATCCTCTCCACCTGAGAAGAAGATCCTTGCGAGCTGGGATGCCAGCTTGTCTTTATTATCTCCAGAGTCCCTAGCAATGTACCTGGCACACAGCAGATATTTAATGAACATCTATTGCATGTCTGAGCACCTTCTACGAGCAAGCGTTGTGCATTTTCTTCATATCTGAATGTAGTACTTATCACACACCTGCAGGTTAGATACCATGATTCCTATCATCCCAACAAACTATCTGGGACTCAGACAGGTGAAGAGATGTGTTCAAAGTTACACAGCTGGTGATTGATGGATTCCCACTGTCCGTCAAGCTCCAAAGTTCATGCTTTTCCATCTCACCGTCTTTGAAGAAGGAAGGCATAAAGCCAAATAAGTGAATTCACAGATCCAATGTTATTGATAGAGCACAAGCCCAGCTTTACCTCAATAGATTTAGAGGAGTGCGGTGGGGGCAAAACTGACAATGCTACCGGGCTAACAGAGCTACATAAAGAAGGAAGGATGAGAAAGTGCCACTGTTGTAGGCATCGCACAGCTTCTGTTTAAGTGCCCTGAAGGTTTCAAGTTGGGACCAATGGCATCAGGAGATTGTTAGAAATGCAGCATCTCAAGCCCTACTCTAGACATTTTGAAACTGAATCTGCATTTTAGCAAGATCTGTGGGTGGTTCATCAGCACATTAAAATCCAAGGAACACCACTCTCAAGATATTCTATGGTCCTTTCTGGCTCTAATACTTTAATATTTTAAGAGTTTAGACTAGGACTCTTCATGACAGCCCAAAACTAGCATGCTTATTAATGTGGGTCACATAGAGATCCAAGCAACCTATCACCTCCACAGTGTCTCCTGAAGAATACTGTTAATGCATCGATATTACTATCAATGGCCTCATTCACTGAGCACGTACCATGTACAAGGAACAGTGCATACAATATCTTGAATCATCCTAACAGTCCTGCAAGAAACATTACTACCCCTTATTATCAATGACAAAATAATCTCATAAATTAATAAAATTCTCCAAAACTAGATGGTTAAATCTATAGTTGAGACAACACCCTAACCCAGAGTATTTAGAGTCCGTGGTTTTTCTGCTACATTAAACTGCCTCCAGTAAAATTTAAAGTATCAAGCAGAGGGGTGCAATGTGAGGAAAGACTAGCAGGTTGTGGACTCCGTCTTCTGCAATGAAGAAGACCAAAGGGGTAGTCTAAGTCTACGAAGGTCTAAAAAATAATGCACAGGAATAGATGGGAACATAGACTTGTTCACCAAATCCTAGAATACCTGGACCAGAATCTCAAATGTGTGGAGATTGAGATACATTTAGCACCAATGTCACCTAGAAGTGATCATCCATGAAGCATAGTTACATTCAAGCTGAAAACACAGATAGCAAAGTTTAGCCTATTCAGAGATCCTAGGTGCACAGTTGATTATTAATAGGACAAAGGAATTTGGAGCCAAGCCTCTGCTCTCTCAAAAACTACCCTTCAGTGCCGCTGGTGGATAGGTACTGAACTAAAGGAACCACAAGTCTGTCAAATTATGGCCAATGCTGTGGTCTTGATGTGATTTAATGCCTGACAGTAACCTCTTATATACTGACATTGCCATAAACGTGTATGAAATTTCACGGAGTTGTCTTCCCAGCGAGGGCCTGTCCTTCATTTGTATGTATAAACACTCTCCCCAGAGCACATATAAATGGATCGTACTCTCCGGATGGCACATGTTTTTACTTACGCTAACAAATGACTATCCTTCCCAGCAAAATGACTAAATAGAGCACTAATAAATCAATTTGTCAGTGGCTATTTCACTTCAGGAAACAATCTCCCCTGTCCCATCCTTGGCTGGTGCAGATATGACCTACATTGAGTGGCCTATGTCAATGGTACAGAAAATCCTAGAGCTGGGAGGCCCTGCAAAAAGATCTGACCCTGCCTCCCTGCAAGAAAAGTGTTGTTATTCCCACTTTACAGATGAAACTATTTAGTTCTAGAGCTAAGACTAAATGACTTGCCCGAAGTCACATTATTAGGAAGAATTTGAAAGGACAAGAGCAGAGTCTCCTGAATGACACTCAGCTCTGTTGTCAGCAGAACCCAACCTCTTTTAAGCTCTGTCCCAAGGCTGGACCTGGGGAGAAGCTCATCTATGACATCTCTCCTTTGGATCTATGGATCCCCTTTTCCATGAGTTCCTCTGGAAGTTTATGTTTTCATCTCCCACTGAAAATGTTTTCAGCAGGTTCTTGGAGCAGTTTGACACCCCTCTCACCCTCCCCCCTCCCCCGCTTCTGTATTCCCCCTTTGTTTTTCACACCCTCTCCTGCCACTGCTTATCGTTTGTGGACACCACAGGAATTCAGAAACAAGGTTCTCCTTTCTCATCCCCATCCTCCTTGCCCCCCACCCTGGAAAGTCTACCCTCCCATAAGCTGCAAATCCTGGGGAAAGTCATTCTGTGTTCTTCCTCACAGCCATCTATCTGAAAGAGGACAGAGGACCCAGCATAAGAAGGTTCAATGGGGAGAATTACAGAGGCAATAGAAGTGTAATACCCACTGTGTGAGAAGGACTAAATGAGGCCATAACCTGGAAACTATTTCAGGAGAATTCCAGGCTGTGAAAAGAGATGACCACACAGAAGATGTGTTTTCTCCAACAATTCTTAAAAGGCTTCTCCTTCACTGCTTAGACAGAATTTGGAGCTTAGATCTGTGACTAAGGACAGTGGCTGCTGCCCTGGGAGCTCTGCTCCTCCAACATACATCCAGTACCAAGCCATACTGACTCATCTCACTTAGACTAGGCAAGCCTCACTGAAGAGCCTACAAGCATTTAAACAGATTGCCAAGTTTCAATCAACATTGCAATTTCCAAATTGAAGGAGAGGTACCTGAAATCTGGTTGTACAATACAACTACAATATGGCACTGGGGAAAAAAAACAAAACACCCAGTACCACTTGCTTTCTTGAGGATGTCCTGATTGGGCTATCACTGTCTCAGAGTGGAAAGGATTGGCTTCAAAGCTCATAGGAGCTCTTGGAACAAGGAGAGGAGGAAGGAGACACCCGAGTAGTCTCCTAGCTCTCGCTTAATCACAAGAATTCTCCAAAATCTGGTATCAGAACTTCTGTCACCCCACACCTCCGCCAGCCATCATGTTGTGTTTCGGTAGATAAAATCTGTGTCCTTAGATCCTGCCTCAGGATTCCTTGCCTAGAAACATTTTAAAGTGAGAAAACTGAAGGAGAGTTTGGAAGCAGAAACTGCCAGTAGTGTCTGCTGATCCTGCATACCTGTGATGGAACCAAAGTTTGATATTAACACAAATCCAAGGAAAATTTAAAAAAGTGGTGCAGACGGATAGAAGGATATGGCAAGGGATAGCAGGGGATAGAATACTGAAAGTTACTTACACAGTTTCATTATTCTTGAACTCCAACTCCCCATATATGTCTTCAAAATCCTCACCACCACCCCTGGCTGTCCCTTCCACTGTCCTAAAGGGAACGATGACTGTACCCTTGGCACCAGATGTCCGCAGAACCTTGACCTCCATGACACCAATACTCTCACTAATACGAATAGTGTCACATTCAAAAGTGAAGATGCCTGCATGGTCATCATCCAAGATAGTAACTTTGGCCACACAAGGGGACACCAAGACGGCCCTGGAAGGCAAGGTAACACTATTCTGTATTGTTGGAGCCATCCCTTCCTCTGGCTGCTCATTCTCTATGCGGACATTACTCAACCTCACAAAGAAGTATTCGTCCTCCTCAAAAATGTCATCATCAATGATGCCCACAGAGAACTCCTTCTGGGTCTCTCCTGGCTTCAGAACCAGGGTGCCCTCTGTGAACTCATAGTCAGCCCCTGCATTGGCAGAACCATCCTCTGTTTTGTAGTCCACATACAGCGTCTTGGATGTGTCCCCCCCTTTCCTCACCACTGTCAGGAGTATAGCCCCACAGTTCTCCAGGCACTGGTAAGAGCATGGGTCAAAGAAGACCTTGGAGACAAAGTCCTCAGGCTGATCGGCATGCACCTCACTCATAGCAGCGGATTTCTTGGCTTGTTCTGCAGCATGTTTCCTCAGGATATTGCCTGCACCGATCATCATACGGATGGCTTGAATCCGGTAGAAGGCGCGGCTCTTCTGTTGATGGGAAAGAGCATAGTAATTGGCCATCTCTACCAGCTGATCTAACTCCTTCTCTGGATGTTTTTGCTTCAGATCCTTGAGAATCCGGATCATCTCCCTGCGGGACTCATCTACTTCCTTCCCTTCTGGTGGCACAAGATTCCCATCTAGAAAGTGGGAATTCATCATTTTCCCATCCATCTCAATGCTCTTGGAGTGGCCACCCGCTGTCTCTATGATAATTCCTCGGTGTTTATCTGTGCGGTACTTTTTGTGCATGTATTTGTAGAAGAGCAGTCTCTTATCTGCCATCCAGGCCAGAACAACACACACTGGGAAAAAAAAGAGAGTGAGGAGGCCTTCCCAAACCTGGACCACACCAGGAGAGAAGACTGCCAGGATCATATAGAGCCAGATATAGGCAAAGATGCTCCAAGCAGCAGTGACAAAGAACACTCGCAGGTGCTTGATCTTACGAGTCTCTCCGTCGGGGACCACATACACACAGATGGCAATGATGATGAACATGTTGAAGGCTGCACTGCCCACGATGGTAGAAGGTCCCAGATCACCAGCAATGAACCCGTGACCACACACCTCAATTAAAGAGAGGAGGATCTCAGGAGCAGAGGAACCCAGAGCCATAAGGGTCAGGTTGGAGACAGTTTCATTCCATACCCGAATCATTGTTGTGCTGGTCTCTCCGTTGGGCTTTTTGATAGTCACCTCTTTCTCTTGAGAAGTAATGACTTCAATAGATGCCATGAAGCGGTCAGCGATGATGGATACCCCAAGGAACATGTATATCAGAGCCACAAAATAGACAATGACCCTGGCAATCTTATCCCCAAGGGAAGGGTTCTCCGGGTACCAGATTGGTAAGATGACACCCTCCTTGCAGTCCGATGACTCCCGACAGGACTCATTGTTCTGCCCTGTGCTGGGCACATCCCCTGAGCCACCAGTCTCTGCCCGAAGACCATTCAGGAAGAGCACAAAAGTTATCAGCCCAAAATGGAGGAAGGCAGAGGTGAGAGGCTGCAACCTTAACCACGCCATACATGAGACTTAGCCACTGGCTTCCACTGCAGCACCAACGGTCCTCCTGACAGGCCAGAGACCTAGAAAAGACCAGAGAGGTAGGAAAAGGCATGAGGAAAAGGGAGACGGCAATGGCAGATTCCCACCAATAGTAACTGGTATTTCATCTTGAATAACATATTGCACTAACATATGGGGCAGTCTCTCACTTGGAAAAATACATATCAGTGGGAGACACAAATAGCTGCTTTGTCCTCAGGACCATCTGGTGGAGACTCGGTTGTAGAATGGCTTAAAATAGCTGGGAATACTGGTAATGGAAACATAAGTGATGCCATCTTGACCTGTCTCCCAACTCTATTGTTATCTGTGAGAGTTCTCAAGAATTAACTTAAGCCCAGCTGGTGTTGCTCCGTGGCTGAGAGTCGACCTATGAACCAGGAGTTCACAGTTCAATTCCCAGGGCACATGCTCAAGTTCGGGCTTGATCATCAGTAGGAGGCATGCAGGAGGCAGCCGATTAATGATTCTCTCTCATCACTGAAGCTTCTATCTCTCTCTCTCCCTCTCCTTTCCTCCCTTAAATCAATAAAAATATTTTTAAAAAGAATCAACTTAAAATAGGCCAAAGATGACCTAAATTTTCATCCCCTCTTATACTATTTCTAGGGTTTTCAGTCTTCTTCACCTCAATGTCATCATACTCAAGAATCTTGCATAACATAGGTTTGCAAGAACACATATTGACTTGAACTTATCATGAGCTAACCTCCAAAATAGAACACCTTGTCTATGTGCAACTGAGCCCTCAATGCAAAACTTCTGCAGGCAAGCTGTAATTCTGAGATCGCTTGGAAAATCAAGAGAGTTGATTCTGTAGTGAGTGCTACCTGCAATGTAGCTAAACCAAGGCCTTATAAGTTGTGCCCAAGACCCAGTCCACAGCAGCCCTTAGCCCTCCAGCAAAACATGCTTATGAAACAGTTTTGGTTTCCAGTACAGGGAGATGAAGATCAGTCAGCCACTCAAATTCCAAACCAAACCCTGAAAGAGCCACGTGGTAGAAACCACTATTAATAAAACATGCAAGTGGCTCTCAAGTAAGTGTTATTAACTGGAGACAAGATTTCGGGGTGAAATGCAGCCTCATCTGTTGGCCTCGAGCTATTAAAAGGTGAGTTCAGAAGAATGGAAAGAAACTCCACTGAAACTAAGACTCATCTTTCCATTCATTGCCTCATTCAGGTAGAATGAGAATGCAAATAACCATGCAATAGCTTTAAAAAAATTGCCAATTTTCCCACTTCTGCTACAACCATGTGGGGAACTTCTAGTAATAGAGAAATGCTCATTTGCATCCAGACCTGCTCCTACTCCTCTGCTGTTTTCCATCTCAGAAAATAGCACCTCCATCCACCCAGTTACTCCTGCTAGTCTGCAAGCCTTCCTCCCTGACCTGTCCCTTATCCAATCCAGCACTAAATCCTATCAATTCTTCCTTGACCTCTATACCACCATCACAGCCCAAGACACCATTACTCCTCACCTGATGAATCTATGCAGCAACTACCAAACTGAATTCACCACTCCAACTCTTGCCATTCTCTAGTCCATTTCCTTATATAGCCACAGTAATCTGTTTTTAAAAAAGCAAAAACAAAACAAAAACTTACACTATCACTTCCTTCTTTTCCCCCTTTATCTCTTGCCACTCTTCCTCTTACTGTACTTCAGCAACAATGAACTTCCTATCAGGTTATTTTCCACCTCAGAACCTTTGCACATGACATCATCCATGCATTCCTGACATGACTGTTTCTTCTTTGCATCTCCATTCTTAACAATCCAGATCATAGCTTAAGTTGCCTTCTCAAGAAAACTTGCCCTCACCCCCAAAATGGTCAACTCCCTCTGTTGTGTTCTCTCATCACATTCTTTACTTTTCTTTCACAACATTTTTAAAGCTTTGAAGTTACCTGTATTTTGTGTGAGGTTATATGATTAATGTCTAACTCACCTACTAAACTATGAATGACACAAAGGCAAAGACTATGTCTATTCTGTTTTTCATGGTATCCTAATAGTGAGATAGTTGGGTGTTCAGTAAATGTATATTTTTGGAATAAATCTATGTAGTCACTAAGGAAGCTTACTCAGGGCTATAATTGAATTATGTCTATCCCCTCCACCCCCCACACATTCATGTGTTGAAGCCTTAAGCCCCAATGTGAATGTATAGTGAGACAGGGCTTTTAAGAAGTAACTAAGGTATAATGAGGTCACAGGGTGGGGTCCTACTCTGATAAGATTGGTGACCTTATAAAAAAAAAGGGAGGAGGTAGGGAGGGAGAGAGAGAGCGAGAGAGAGATCTACCATGTGAAGACATAGCAAGTGGCCATCTGCAAGCCAGGAAGACGGCTCTTGCCAGAAACGGAATTGGCCAACACCTTGATCTTGGACTCCCAGCCTCCAGAGTGGTGAGAAAATTAACTTTGGTTGTTTAAGCCACCCGGTCTATGGTATTTTGGTATGGCAGCCTGAGCAGATTAACACCACTCCAACATTGGCCTTTTTAAAAACCATTTTATGATCTGAATACAGCCATTTGTTTTAGAAACAGAATATACAAATACCATAGACAAATTCTAACTCGATTTTAGAGGTTATATAGGACCTCTTTAAACTCCCCAGGCTTGTACGCAGAGAAGTTCTCTTCGGACACAGTATGCCTTGGTGCATGCTGTAATCTTGAAGGCCTTCCTCCCAAAGGGCTCTGTGGATTAGCTTGGTTTCCTATTCCCCAGAATGGCAGCCAAGTGCTGAGGCCCATATTCCCCATTAGTCCAGGTACTGGGGGTCATCAGAGCAGGTGTTTGGGGCTTTGACCTCACTCTGAAGAGAAAAGGTTACAAGAATGACTGCGGAGCCCTAGCCAGTTTGGCTCACTGGATAGAGCGTCGACCTGGGGACTGAAGAGTCCCGGGTTCGATTCCGGTCAAGGGCATGTACCTTGGTTGCAGGCACATCCCCAGTAGGGGGTGTGCAGGAGGCAGCTGGTCGATGATTCTCTCTCATCAATGTTTCTAACTCTCTATCCCTCTCACTTCCTCTCTGTGAAAAATCAATAAAATATATATATTTTTTTAAAAAGAATGACTGTGGAAGAGCAGAGTGGTTGAAGATGTTCAGCATCCATATTCAAAAGATTGAAAAGGCTCTCATAATCTGTGATGTACACAGAGACCCCTCCACAGGTTTAACAATCACCCACCCTGGAGAGATATGGATAGAGACAGATCTTGGCACCCTGCCTTGACCTCTGAAAACCCCACACCTCTGATAAGCCCCATGCAGGAGGAGACAGAAGGTGGGCACAGCTGGAGCAGCTCTTTGATCAAGAGCCAGTGAGGTGACAGGAGGTGGCAGCTGTGTAGACCAGCCAACCCCAAGAAGGCAGGCTATCACAGGTTAGGGAAGAAAGCTGGCCTTCTGCAGTCAAAGGACAGGGAACATTGAGGTAGTGGAGTTATCCTGATTAACAGGGATAAGGACTCCTGCTTCTCTTACCCACCAGGAGAATCAAGGAGGATCACGGTCTTTGTTCTCTTCAGTCTTACGGACACTTGTGGCAACAGGTTTCTATGGGAAATGAGCTATCACGTGGTCAGAATCAGAGGCCAGTTTAGAAAGGCTTTTCCCTATGAAAACAGATGAGCTGAAGGAAAGGATGAAAGAATACAAGGCAAGAAGGAGGCTAGTAAATGCCTGCACCAAGTTTTTGAAATTGAAGGTAGAAAATGACCTGTAAATTCCCAGTTGTGCTTTCCAGCCCTGCCAGGAAATGGTTTTTGCCTGAGGTTTTGGAGGGAGAGGGCACATCTGATGACCAAGCCAATGGTCATGTTTTTTGTGCTTCAGACACCAATTGAGACAGATCCCAACATCCTGGGGGTCCACCCAAGTCCTTAGAAACCCAAATGTTTCTAGAAGGCTCTTCATCAGCCCTAAGGCATACTCAGGAATAGGACTCAGCTAGAGATCCCTGAGAACCACCCCAAATGATGAAGATATTAATAATAGCAAATAACACTTAAAACTGCCTATTGTGGGATAATGCTAAGCACTTCCTCAGTTCATCTTCATAACAATCCCGTGATGTTAGTACTATTTCTATCCCACTTTAGTTTCAGGAAAGTGAGGTTTAGTTAAGTCATTTCCTCCAAGTATAAAGCAAGGAAGGGAGAGTCAGAACTCCCACAAAGATGGCATGAAATGGTCTGGTTTTCACCACTCCATTTTACTAAGATGTCTCACTTTGTTAGAAAATGTCCATGACCCCCAATCAGCTTCCAGTCCCCTGTGGACTTAGGAGAAATATGACTGCCCCACACACCCTAACAGGAGAGACACTAGCCATTTGGTACACTGGCCTAGTCCCCAGGCTTGCTGCAGCTGTTCAAGGCACTAGTTGTCCAATGCAGTCTCCCACCCAAATATTCTCCCATCAGTTCATGTTGACAAAAATGAACAAAAGCAGGCCTGATACTAGAGGCTGGTGGGAAAAATGAAAAATAAGATACCGGGTTTGCCCTCCAGGGTACTATCCAGCAGGGATGGAGAGCTGCACAAACCGGCACTTTTACTATAATAAGTGAAGGCAATGCTGTGAGAACATGAGGAGGGCACGGAGCCAGCCTGGGGAGTCAGGGAGGCATGCTGAAGGAGGTGATCCCTGAAATGAGTCTTCAAGCATAAGTGAGCTTCAGTCAAACAACAACAACAAAAAGTGGGAAGGGTATTCGAGTCAAAGAAAACAGCTTAAGCAAAGACACGAAGACATGGGGAAGCCTGCTGTGTGCGTGGGATTACAAGGAGTCCTGTGGGAAGCGGGAAGGGCAGAAGATGAGTGTTCAGAAGACTGGACACTCGGGAAGGGCTCAATTTATGGCGTTGTATATGTCAGGCTGAGAAGACGGGATTGTATCCTAAGGGCAGGGAAAAGCCAACGATAGGATTTTAAACAGGAGAATGACATGGTCTGATTTGTAGTTCAGAAAAAACCAATTCAGCTAAAGGGTT